TTTTCCCAATCTTTGGAGAAAGAAAATCTCATCTGGTCTGTGCAGTTTTGTGGGCAGCTTGAAGTATATTTGGTAGAGCTCTTGCCTTACAATCAGGAGGTTGTGAGTTCGATCCTAGGTAGAGGCAGATGTTGGGTCTCCTGCTTGGGCAGGGGGTTGGACTAGATGACCTGAGAGGTCCCTTCCAATGCTGTTAATATATTACTTCAGCAAAAATGCAATGTAGACGAGAAAGGCCAAGCCCTATTCCTAACAGCACGTCTTCCCATGTCATCAAATCCAGCTTCAAGTGAGGCCAACAAATAGTCAATTACTTTGTGAATGTTTTTCTTTTGAAAAAGGTTTTTTCCCCCAACTTTTTATGTGGTAAATGGGTTGATAAATCAGCACCATGAAATTTGGTGGAAAAATAAGATCAACCAAATGAGTACAATTCCAAATGAAACCAATAAAAAAATAAAATAAAATAAATCAAATGGAACAACTAGCTTTCAGAAATCATGAGTGCTCCATCACTTGAGATTTTTAAGAAAAGACTGGACAGCCATTTGTCTGAAATGGTCTAGGGTCTCCTGCTTGACCAGAGGGTTGAGTTAGAAGACCTCCAAGGTCCCTTCCACCACTATTCTGATTGATTGATTGAGTAAATCCACTAATGTTTTGCCTTGTTATATTTGAGCAAGTCATCATCATCATGATACCACCTCAGCTTTCCCTTAATGCCTTCCAATGTGTGGATTATAAAGGGCAACACTGACTAGTAAATGATGGGACAGTGGTCCAACACATCTCGAGAGCATCAGGTGATGCGTAATTGTCTTGATATACTTTTTTTTTCATTAGTATATCCATAAGCACAAATTCAGTTTTTGCATCACCGTTCATGAGATGAAATAACAGACATCTTCATGATACTAGCAAGAATATAATTTTATGATTTCATTCACACATAATCCAACAGGCAGAATACATCCATGTCCTTTGGAGGTTTTCTTCCCTCTCCCCCTATATTTCAACAGGATTTTTTTTTATCAGTATGGTGCTTTCAGATGTGATCAATACAATTCTGACCATCTCTAATCTTCATAGGATTTGCAGTATCCATCATTTCCAGGCATATGAAATCATATATACCTGGAGAACACCTGGCTGGGAAGATTTCTCCAAGTATTAGGACCACAGGCAGATATTTTTTTCTTTTTGGACCTGAGCCTTGGTGCTTAGAAAACGCTTCATAAACTAAATTACTGTCTAATTTCCCATTGTTTAAAGCGATATAAATTTCTGTGGCTGGCTTCATTCTACATTAAGAAGAAAGCTTGAAGTGGAAATTGTGTATGACTATGACTATAGGCCACTGTAGCAAAATGATGAGAAAGCAAGCAAATTCTAACAAATTTTAACGAATACTTCTGAAAAGTCTATTTCTCAGTATCGTTTTCAGATAAAATTATTTTGGTGTATGACCTGAACATACCACACACTGTATATTCAACTTCCAAACACCAAACCCAAATCCAATGGGAAGGAGTGCCTATGGAGCACACACACTGCGTAAGATCAGAGCTCTTCTTCTTGACATTCTCCCAGGCAACCTAACCTTTTCACCCATGACCTACCTTTTCTTTCTGGCTGCTGGTTGTGGGCCTCCACCCTCCACGGCGGCGCTTGGACTTTGGGGCAAGGGGTTCCTGGGCTGTCTTGGCATTGAGGTGTTGGGTGATCTTGACTTCTACTGCCAGCTTGACGTTGGTGCGGAGGTTCCTCCTCTCAAAGACTTTCTTGCATTGGGGGCAAGATATCACCCGAGGGCCATTTCCCTTCATGGACTCCTCATCCCAGTAGCGAGTGATACAAGCCCGGCAATAGCTGTGGTCACAGTCGAGGATCACTGGGTCCTTAAAGTGACCCCTGCAGGCCGGGCAGATAGCCGCTCTCTGCAGCTCAGCCACCAGCCCTTTGCTTTCCATGCCGCACGACTGTGTCATCCTTCGGCTCCTGTGCTCTGGTGCCAGCTCAACACCGCGCCTCTATATAGGCAGGGAGGAGACCAGAGGCAGGTTGGGGAGGAGCTTCTGTCCGGCAATAGGTAAACAGCCTTGCATAACCATCCAGTTCTTCCACTCCAGGGACTTGTGCCAAAACGTGGCAGGCAGGAACTGCCGCTGGGGTAGAAGACAAGTCTGTTTTGCTGTTAGAAAATAACACGCCGTGTGATAAGTTACGGCTGGGAACAGGGTGGGGCATGCAGAGCATCGGGCTAATTTTGTTTGGATTTCTGACCACTGCGAGGACCAGCTGAACCTCCTCCTGAATCCCAGAGCTTTGCAGGTCTGCTCCGGTCTGCTCCATCCATCTCAATTGCTCTTCCAAGAAGCCCTTAACATCAGCTTGTAGAAAGTTAACACCCGCCCCTCTTCCTAGAAGAATGAAATATTTTGAGAAACATTAAAAAGGCAGAATATTATACTGTATTCCCCTAAAGGGAGAAATGGAGAAACATGCTCTTGGAAAGCAGCCCCCACCTTTCTTAATAGCCCTCAGCAGATGTCAGCACTTAAGAGATAAAGAGATAGATAGCTGTATTCATAGGTAAAATACTGCAGGTAAATACTGCAGGCAGAAATCCATTCAAGACAGGATATTTTGAAACAAAGGCAGAGTGATAGGATTAGCCCTCACTCAAGAGTATCCCATCAAGATATCCTATCCTAGTGGGTGGATCAGTGGCTAAGTGGCTAAGATGCTGAGCTTGTCAATCAGAAAAGTCGGCAGTTCAGCGGTTCAAATCCCTAGTATAGGTTTCCTGCGTGAGCAGGGGGCTGGAGTAGATGATCTCCAAGGTCCCTTCCAATTCCGTTACTTTTTTAAAAAAAATATCCAAACCAGGACAAAGCCATTAAGCCATAATAGAAATTGCCCAACCTCCTTTCAGAACACAAGCCCCTTCATTGCATCATCTCAGTTGCCCCACCCCCAGCAAACTTCTCAGGCAACCTACAGAGCCAGCTATGACCCCTGAATAGCCCCATGGGAGTCTGACAACAGCCAATAGAATACATGTTGTTGCACAGGAACAGGAAGCTCAAGTTCAAAGCCCAAGAGAAGGCATACCCCACTCTCAACTCCACGTGGTCAGCTGTCCAGAGCCATGTGCTTGGTGGTTCTGTTTCACCATTAAATCATCTTTCCAATCAGCCTCTATGTTGCCAGTGTCTTTCTCTGGAACTGAACCAGATGGATATTTCTTCCAACAAACTCTATGGCAAACCTTGTGCCTTCAGATGCTGCAGCTCCTGAGATGCATTCTGAAGCATTGTCCCTACCTGGTGTCCTTCAGATGTGTTGGGATGGCAATTCCCAAAATTTCTAGACTCACCAACATCTTCATTTGTTGTAAGAACTATTTTTGAAAGGATTCTTCTTTCAATGGTTATCTAACCATTCCTCTTAGCTATTGGGCTTAGGGAAAACAGAAATGATCACAGAGAGAAAGAACATTAGCAGAATGAAACTTCCTTTTTTCACTTGGAAGCCACGAATGATATCCTACAGAATTGTCTTCCCCAATCACTGTGGTTTCTGGGTGATGAGAGTTGCTGTTTTGGAAGACATCAGACAGGGACAGACCCCAAAGCTCAAGGTTAAAAGTGTGTGTGTGTGTGTGTGTGTGTGTGTGTGTGTGTGTGTGTGTGTGTGAGAGAGAGAGAGAGAGAGCGAGGAAGG